TTAACTTTCCCTTTACGAAGATTTTCCCTTATGATCATGATTCTTAAAAAAATGTTTACCTAAAAACAAAACTTATTTTCTATAGATAACCAATACCATTTATTACTTATTCTATTGACGTCACCTCCTTATCAGAAAGGAAACTACAACTAAAGATCACCAAAACAACATCTGTTCTTTTCTACAAACCTTACCACAAAAATATTATTTATTTTAAATAAATGGACTCACTAAAATTGAATAAATGGACTCTGAACTTATACAAATTAAAAAAAAAAAAACATACTCATCCTATTTTTAAAATTTGACTATTATAAAAATAAAGTTATCAATTACACCGAAAAAACCTATAATAACAATTAACCCTAAATAAATAAATAAAAATTCTATCCACATCTCTAAAAATAAAAATAAAATTTTTGGCATCCAGATTTTGATCTGCATTACAAATAGATCTTAACCGCCAAGGCGGTTTAAATATATTGGTGCACCCTTAATGATATTGAGAGAAATCCCTTCAATGAGTAGTGTATTTCCCAAACCTCTCCCTCCAAATTAAAAGGCCTTGTAGCAAGAGCATGATTAGCCGAAACTATTCCACATGGTCCCATATAGAAAAAATTTATTGCACATACCGGATCCCTATACACACCTCCTACTCTTGTATTCCTTGGGTTACCAAAGGAAGATTCATCAAAATTAAGTTTTAAATATTTTACCGGGGGTGGCTGCCAACAAGATCTAGGTCCATAACTTTAATTGCTCTATAAGACATGACATTTGCCAAAGAAAATATCAACCTTAGAAACCCCTTGTCATTCCTTAGTAACACTAAACCAACTCCAAACCGTATGAAGAATTCTATTTTGTAGTGCTCATAACTCCAGCGAAACACCATCAAAAGCCATTCTATTTCTTTCCAACCATTACTCCCATATAATGACCCCTCAAAAGATAGCCCATAACAAAACCCCAACTGCTGAAAAACCAATCAACTTGAAATGTGGCAGAAAATTAACTAACGAACCTGGCATAACCATAGATTGTCCCACTAAATTCAATGCCCCTTGCCACAAATGCCATGTATATGGGCATAGAAGAAGAAGGTGAGCACATGTGTCCTCTTCATTTTTACAAGAGGCAAACATTAACCAACACCTTCCCCTTTTTTATCAAATTATCGATAGTCGCCTTACCTTGAATCATAACCCAAGTAAATCCTTGCACTTTAATTGGTATCTTTCATTTTAAGATCTCCCTTAAAACCTCTTGCCTTCATCTAATTTAGTCATTAAGCAATATTGAATATGTCGATCTTAACGAATAAACACAACTCATTTCGCTATCCCATATAGCCTCAATGTTCGCTTCATTTGAAAGGTACACCCCAGGCAATGAACCAAGCAACTCAGTTAAATGCTTGTACACCATATTGGGAGTCCTATTGTAACGAACAACAACATTCCAAAAAACTGCCCCTCCATTAGACTTCCCAATATCACTCACCTTAGCCATTGCATTAATACACCTTTAAAATAGGCATGGAAACTTTTATTTCAATGGCATATCCTAGGCCATTTGTGGTGCCAAAACAAGATATCATGATCGTTGCCCACGTACCAACTTATTTGACCTACCATGAAAGTACGCATAGAGCAAATGGACTTCCACACATGGGACTGTCGTGAGCCACCTCTACGTTTTCGAATGAAATTATTCAATGGAT